GTTACCTCTCTTCCATAAACATCAACTAAATTCCGCTCAGCATATTTGAGCTTTAAATTATATATAGTCACTATGATGTTGAACAAACAAAAAATATATCTGGGCAGGTTCTGTCTATATTTCTGTGATGAGGTATTATGTACATTATTTACATTATTCGGACTATTGTCCTCATCTTTTTCGCCATATCTATCACAATGTTTCGGCCGTTGTACGCTCCAAACTTCGTCAGGTGGTTGGAATGTCGAACTGAACCCTTTATTTCACTCACTGGGGTAGACTGTTCTAGTTCCAAGTGCCATGTTTGATGGATGTCAGTTATCTCCTGTTAATTTCCCTCTGAAAGTTCTCCACTGTCTTATGGCACAGTGGATAAAGGCGTTGGTTAGATCCAGTGACAGGACTCAAAGAGTGTGAGTTCATTACCCGGTTGTATGGCATGTCCTTGCCTTGAAGGTCTTGAACTGGCGGAATCAGGTAATATACGTCGTCCGAAAACTTGGCGATTGAGCAGTGCGAGTGTGTCCTTTTCTCGTCTCTGAGAGTGAAGTTGGAGAGTGGAGAATAATTCGTCACCCACAAGGGCTTTGAGACAATTTTGGACGTGATCCAAACCAGGAGTATGAGGTCTGGATAGCTCCCGCACAAGTATCACTAAAGAATCCATATTTTTATCATCTGATCTGAATCTTGTAAACGCAGAGTATAGCATGAGGAGTCAGGTACTTGCTTGAACCATAAAGGGAGCGAACAATTTTACCTGCAACCTTAGCAACGGATTCTATTATAGCTTTACTCCGATAGCCCGATGTATCCAGATATACTTATATATATATTAAGTCAAAGACATTTTTTATGTTTATACATAATAAAATCATCTTCAAGAAGCAAGAGCAAAATCTAAAAGGTCTGTCAATCTAACAGTAATCTCATCTCATAATACTCACCCTTGCTCCATATGTGGCCTCCTTTGTAAATCACTAGCGGGTCTTAAATGCCACTTAAGATTATCGCACAAACATAACTGAATCAATAAGCTGTAAGATCGAACCCGACGGGGGAGAGTTCATTATTATTATTATTATTATTATTATTATTATTATTATTATTATTATTTTCTTTGATTTCTGGCGTTTACACATTTCTTTCCGGGTCCCGCCCAGGGACCTAAGGTTAGAAATGGCGTCATGACACTTTCCACTGACAAAAAAAAAAAAGATTACATAGATAAAGCCCTTCGTAAGGTGTGGGCTGTACTTGTCAGAACAATTTTTTGTATCTCCTTGAGGCATGGACTTCCAGGAATCCCTTCAATTAGTCTACTGCAATCTTTTCCAACCAGTCTTAGGGCTCCAACTACAACAGGGATTGTTGATGTTCCCATATGCCATATTTTCGCGATTTCTATTTCAAGGTCCTTGTACTTTGACAACTTTTTGAATATCTTCAAAGATACATTGCAGTCAGCAGGGACTGCCATATCAATAAGGAGGCACCGTTTTATTATTATTATTATTATCATTATTATTTTTATTATTATTATTATTATATGTATATATCAATTTATATAAAATAATATATTGAAGTTGGGTGTCACAATATCTAAATAAATATTGATTTCTTTTTTCATTAATCCGACATAGTTTTATCTCTTTCAACATTATATTTAGTTGATACACATATCTGAGTAGACGCTTCGTTTTCTTTTTAGCCACATATCATTTTGGCTACCGGCTTGAATATTCAAGAAATCCTATTGAAGGGAAATGTGCCCTCCGGCAACATTTGATACTGCATCACCCTATGTTAAGTTCAATGTGTTTTAAACGACTCGGCTATGAAGAGACTGCATAATTCTTTTAAGCACGTTTCTCATTTAGATTCCCGAAAAGCAATAACTGTTTCGTTTCGTATCTGACACATAAATAAAGCAATTTCTAATGATTGCAAAGTACTTTTGTCTGAGATAAATAATAAAGACAGACAAAGAAAGAGAGAACTATGAACGGACCAAAATAGATAGATAGATAGATAGATAGATAGATAGATAGATAGATAGATAGATAGATGACCGTAATTTGCCATATTACTTTTATGTGAATAATTTTGTTGTTTGTTTTTTTTTCTGAAATTTTGACTGTTAAATGTTCGCACTCTCGGTTTAATAAAGAGGATTTGGATAAAGTCTATTGACAAGAAAATATATTTCTGATGGAAAAGACATATTTATTGTAAAATGTACATACATATACCATCCTTAAACCACTTATTTATTGATCTATGCCTATTTCCAAAAAGCAAAATCAAAAAGAAACCTGTTGTATCAGGAATTATTAACGGTAAAACTAAATCCAAAAACGGCAACACTGAATCTTCAAAACTATAAGAATTCAGAATCAAGGGCATCATGAAATCGTAGAAGATGCCATAGAACATCTGTACCGTCAGTTTGAGGAGACACAAAACTACAAAAAATATCATGTCTTTATAGATATACCCACGTAAGCAAATATATTAATTTAGCTGTTTTCTGTCGTCTCTGTTGTTTTTTCCTTTTTCATTATTGCTAGCATAAGCACCAATCGCTCCATACGATTAAGACTATTTTTTTTTGTGTAATATAAGACGTCTATTGAAGACGTGGCCAGTAATGATGTGAGTTTGAAAACCCTGACCTCATGAACCAGAAATAATGACGCCACATTTTTTTTCTTGTTCTTTCTTTAGCTGACTCTGCAAATGGGCAAAAAGCAAACGTACAATAGATAGATAGAAAAAAAATGAAATAAGGAAACTTTAAGTGACTTTATTTTTTTTTATCTTCCAAGGAGAATGAATTGTCCAATAACCACCTTGCAAAATATATGCATAAAGATGTAAGTATAATGGAATATATATATATATAGATATTTTTTTTTTCATCATTATTAACTTTTCTGTTTTCTGTTTGTTTAGGTGTTGGGAAACAGTTACATAGCAAAAGAAATCAAATAAAATTAAGTAAAAGGAATTACAAATAGAAAAGAAATTTCAAAATATATATTTATTCTTAGTCTAATTAAGCAAGGGATGTTTTTTGTCAAGTAGATTTTTCTCATTTGAAGTGAATTCCTGGGACAGAATTTTTTTGGCATTAGATATAACTTATATAACTTATATATATATATATATCAACTGAAACAAAGACAAAAACACACACATATGCAGACAAACACACACACACATATATATATATATGTGTGATCATTATATATAGAAATACGCAGTAACTCACGCAAGCACACACAAATACACACTCACACAGACATACACATAGAGCTAGAGAGAGAGAGAGAGAGAGAGAGATGCAGAATGAGATAGGTAGATTGCAAGATAAAAAATTCGTATGACATTTGCTATTAAATTAATTGCTAATTAATTGTTATAAATTCAAATTAATTGATATAATAAATAGAAATCTTTCTATCTCTCTCTCTCTCTCTCTCTCTATATATATATATATATATATATATATATATATATATATATATATATATATATATTAATCACTATCACACCAAGCAAGGCAGTAAAGCCACTAAAACGCATGGAGCTACAAGGTGTGGAAGTGTTAGGAACACAAACATTAATAATGAGCAAAAAGTCTCTTACACAAGCGTAAAGTGCGAGAAAAGAAACTTCTGCTATGGAACTTACGGTTACATCTCGCCAGCTCTAGTTTAAATTGAAAAAACCTAACAGCCAATATAGTACTGCGCTTAAATTCATAAATTGATGTACCATAGCGAAGAGCTCACCTGAGCAATTGTCATGAATATATTTATAGAAATGACTCAGAGAGGCAACCTTACGGCTGTGGGTTAGTGACTAAAGCCGAGCTCCCAGATCAGTACCAATAATATTGCTGATTCTTTTTGGATCTTATCAAGGAGTTAAATGTACATTGTAGGAGCAGCGGACCATATGTGGCAGCAACGTTCTAAACATGGACGAATTATAGCCTTATATATAAGTAAGAGTTTCCCGAGAGAAAAATTCACGACACAATGAATCAACATTCTTATATCTATCTATCTATCTATCTATCTATATATATATATATATATATATGTGTGTGTGTGTGTGTGTGTGTGTGTGTGTGTGTGTGTGTGTGTGTGTGTGTGTGTGTGTGTGTGTGTGTATTTTAAGCGTTTCACCCCAAGCAAGACGGAGACCCACAAGCACGCAAGGGGCTACAGAGTGTTGTAGCGAGAGCAAAGATGAGTGATGGAGGAAAGGATAAAGAGAAGGAGAGGGGATAGATCAAGGCATCTGGAGACGTCGATTGATATTACATTTGATTATTTGGAGATTATTGTTATCACAGAAACAAGAACAGAGCAGGTAGTTTCACAGGCAAGTTGGAGTAGAAGAGATGGCTGCATTTTTTTACAATTTATGACAGTGAAAGGGTGAGAGCTAGATGCCAGCCTAGTTGAAAGCTTAAATTCATGAAGTCTGGGAACCAGTGAAAGCAGCTCATCGGAGAAGTTACCATGAAAATATTTGGTAGGAAACTGGTAGGACGGTTATTAGACTGGTCAGAAGGGTCCCCACATTTCTTAAAGAGAGGAACAATAGATGAGGACTTCCAACAGGCTCGAAAACAAGATTCATTGAGGCAGTACTATCCAGTCTCCATCACCAGCCTTGTGGGGGTCTAATTTCGAGATAATGCCTAATACCAGTGACGGGGTTATGTGCAACTCGTTCAAAAGAGCCTCAGTTCTAAGGGGGAAATCGGGTGTGAGTACACCGGAAGGGTCAAGCATTCAATAGATCTAACGCCTTTAGACAGATATCCTCAAGGACACATAGCGCAGTGTATAAAGGCCTTAGTTAGATCCAGTGAGAGGACCCAAAGAGTGTGAATTCAATACCTGCTTAAGGTGATGGAGAACTTGGAGAAACGAATTAACAGGAGATAACTGATAACTGACATCCATTACACATGAGAGGAG